GTATCATTAAATCTCGAACTCCCAGTTTATCCCTCCCCACCCCCTTCCTCCCAATAACCATAGGTTTGTTTTCTATGTCTGTGAGTCTGTTTCAGTTTTGTAAATAAGTTCCTCAGTGTTATTTTTTTTTCTAGATTCCACATACAAGCGGTATCATATGGTATTTTTCCTCCTTTGTCTGGCTTACTTAGGGTAACCCCATTAGTCTAGAGTTCAAATGCGTTAAAGATCTATCTGCCTCCTCTCTCTGGAGGGAAGCAGGCAACTTTTAGGGAGGGCACTGCTTTCTCAAGGAGGGCCAGGCTGCTGCCCCATGATTCGGACAAAGAGAAGACGCTGAAGAGTCCCAAAGGAAGAGTTCGGCACCCCCTCAGCTGTAAACCTGAAATCGTCAAAGATGACGTGCACAGGAGACAGGGAGGCCTCTGTGTCCTCCCTCCTCTGTCTAGAGCTGGGATGTATTCTCCTGGACTTGCTGCTCAGCATGTGGATGGCTATCTGGAGGCTGGAAAGGTTTCACTGGCATCTTAGTTAAGAGCCATGCAGTGAGGAAACATCAGAAAAGTTTGTCTTTTTCATCCAGCTCAGATGCAGGGCAGAGTGTGGGACAGCCACCCTCATACCTGGGCTCCTTGCTGTTCAAAAGAGCATCAATTCATGTATTTAGAAATTAAAATTTAACAATATGTTTATCTGATCTAAACTCTCAGGAAGATCTTTTTTTTTAATATATCTATTTGGATGTGTTTGGCCTTGATATATGCTATAAGACTTTTTTTAAAAACCTAAGATATGCTTCAAAATTCAATTAATACAGTTCTATTTCTCATTTTTGTTAAGTTTTTATTATCTATGGGCTGATTTCCCTTTGACCTTGCTAATTTCGTGAAAGCCTTGATTTGATTCACTCGACTGAATGATCTCTTTTCTAGCCTTAAGATTATTAAAAACAGACAGACAGAAATCTTACAGTCAAGGAAGTAGGAAGAGACCCACATCAAGAGCAGACCAAGGTGTTGGACATGGAGGCACATGGAGACAGAAATTGAAAGACAAAATCATTTTTTAAAGCATGTGTCATCTGGGAAGCAAACACAGATTCATCCTCAAACCATGTACCACCAAAACAAGGAGGTGCTTCCCTGCAGCGTAAGAGAACTGGGTTAAGGACCAAAGGGAAAAAGAAACAGTTCGTGTGTGAACCTCTGAATAAACCTGTGGTATGCCAGCAAAGCTATAAAAATCAGGTCATTAGTAAGAAAAAAAGCAAACATCCCATTTCCACGAGCCAAGTAAAACACTGCATAAGGCTCGAGTCTTCTGCTAGTATTTTGAGTCTTACACATTCATCTGTGAAAACAGATTCGGGTGAAAGGCCAGCGTAACACGCTTCGCATGACACGTGAGCAGTCATTAGGCAACACTTTGAAAATGAATCCGTAAGTCATTTTTAGCTTCAAGATACAACTACTTAGCATTATCACTCTAACGTTCCTCTCTCAGCAGATGCACTTGAACTCAAATCAATTTGTTCAATGACTGGAGATTAGCTCATCACTTCAATTTCATTTAATATTTCTGAAGTATTAATAAAACCACTTAGAAATGTCTCAGGTTCTTTGCACAAGTACGTACACCCATCCATCACCATCGGATCGTTTATTTCTCAGAGCTTGTCTTTCTTCAGATACTGGAGTTTCTTTTTACTATTTACGTCAGCTGCTGTCTCTCTGAACTATCTCAAAAGTTCGGTTTCACCTAGGGGGAGTCATAGTGAGGGTGACGCGTGTCTGGAAAGTGAAAAATGCCACCTTCCACCCGATCAAAGAGTAAAAAGAATTCATCATCTGATCCTTCGATTTAGCAAGCAGGATTCATGTGCTAATATCATCTCAAACTTAAAAGACACACATGCTTAACTCACTCATTTATTAACACGATTTACTGACTATCGGCTGTTCCAGCGTTAACTTACGCACTGTGTGTACAGTTACGCGTAGTGGGTGCTGTTTGGGCACTGCCTTCCTGGGGCTTACAGCCAGATCTTAAATGAGAAAAGAACTTGGCCTGTGTGATTAAAACCGTCCTTGGAACGTGGAACAGCACTTCTTGGATGAAAGGATGAACACCAATATTAATTATAAATTCTGATAAGCACTATGTAGGAAGAGAAGAGATTGCTTTGAGAGAGAATGATGAGGTAAAGTGCATCTCTGTGGAAATGTGATAGAAACCGAAGGAGAAAGATTTAGAAATACGTGCAGAGATTCGAGGAGAAGGTGTCCGGTGCATCTGAGATGGTGAAATGTTACTGAGATGGACTTAGCTTAGTGAGCGAGCAGGACACTCAGTTATCAGGCAGGAACCCGACACTGTAAGACCTTAGAGTCCTGTGAAGAATTTTCAACTTTACCCTCATTCTAATAGAAGCCACTGGAGTGTTTTAAGCAAGGCAGTGGTGTGGCCAGAAAAGCACTACAAGCATTCAAAACTTCTGGCCACTTTATGGAACATGGATGAAAGAGAAGCAAGAGTGAAAATGGAAGATGAAGGATGAACACACAGTGGTGTCTTGGCCTGGAGGCATGACAATGACGAAGGAGAGTGTCGAGAAATAAAAGATATTTAGAAGGAAGGGATCCTATCCAGAGGAGGCAAGAGTCAGCAACACGATGGACCCAGAGGTGATCACACTAAGTGGAGAAAGTCAGACACAGAAAGACAAATACCATATGGTATCACTTATATGTGGAGTCTAAAAAATGATACAAATGAACTTATTTACAAAACAGAGACAGACTCACAGACACAGAAAACAAACTTATGGTTACCAAAGCGGGGAGGAGGGAGGGATCAGTTGGGAGTTTGGGATTCGCAGATACAAACTACTATATATAAAACAGATAAACAACAAGGTCCGACTGTACAGCACAGGGAACTATATTTACTATCTTATAATAACCTATAATGAAAAAGAATATATATATATTTATAACTGAATCACTATGCTGTACACCTGAAACATTCTAAATCAACTAGATTTTTATTAAACTATTAAAAATAAAATAATTTTTAAAAAGAGGAGGCAAGAGTGAAAGGCGTATTAAGAATCCTCCCAGGTTTCAGGTTGGTTCTGCTAACATAGGAGACTGAAGGACTCAGCAGAGGACAAGGGGAAGGACTCTGAGAAGCCTAGCGTCCTGAGCCCTTTTATCACATTACCGAGAAGGATGCCCCAGTGTCCTCCAGCACGCTGGAATCTGTATGTACTCTCAACGGTTCTGTGTTTTTAGTTTTTCACTCCCTTCTCCACAGAGGGGGAAGGCTGCTGACTGTTGACAGAGCTGTGTTTTCAGTTTGTACAGCGCTGACTGGTCTTTCCATGGAGGGTCCTCATTCTCAGGACTGGAGGCCAGGACAGAGAATCAGACACCGGGCTGGAGCACGCCCGACCAGACTGCTTGCAGCCAAGACTCCAAACTGATCCTTGGAGGAGGGGCTGACGACCAGCTCTCTCCTCATCTGCCCTTGCAGGGTAGCAAGGTGCCCTCTCCTGGTAGAAACAGGTTTCTGGTTTCCACCCAAACCTTCAAAGCCAGCTGCTTCCTGGACAGGCTGGTATGTAGGGATCATTCCAGATTTGCGCAATAGTGGCTTTCTTTACTTTTTGAGTTTGGTGATGGATGCCCTCTGGGGAAAAACCACCTATGATCATGTGCGTGAAATGTTCATGTGATTTTAGGAAGTACGCAGACCCACTGAAACAGAATCACGGACACAGGAATGGTTAAAAATATCTGGAAGTCTATGACAGGTCAGTCAGTCAGGTCTGCTAATACCAAACTTCACAACAAGGGATGCAGGAAACACAAAGAAAGTACCCTCCCCCAGCTAAAAATAAAAGAATAGTATAATGAGCCAAGATTCTATCCAATTGGCATGTTAGTCCAAAACATCTCATCATTAACAACTGCATGCTGGGGAGGGCATAGCTCAGTGGTAAAACACCTGCCTAGCATGCATGAGGTCCTGGGTTCAATCCCCAGCACCTCCATTAAATAAATAAATAAACCTAATTAAGTCCCTCCTCAAAAAAAAAATAATGTCTCAAAAACATAACTGCACAGAGTTGTGAAAAAGCCATGCATGAGTCTACTGTCAAAAGACCTCAGCTGAGCTGACCCACACGTGGATGGGTCCTAAGAAAGTCTTTCACATCCTCTGAGATTCAGGGATCTCATTCTAAAGCACAATTAATAATAACTGTCCCTGACTGATAAAATTTTTGCTTGTGAAAATCTTTCATATATATACATTTCTGTAGTTCTTATTCATATATTTATTCCAATTTTACCCAAACCGATTTCCAAGGCAGTCACCTCACTGACCTTGAACTAGTAATAGCAGTCATCATAGGGTCTCAGCTGCTGGCGCCAGCAGGTGCTTTATTCATTACAACTGCACATCAGGGCATGGTGTGAACACAGTCTACCTCTGTAAATTGTACACTCACGATTTTCTGTTTATTTTACTCTAAGTTTATTTCCCAGGTTTCACATTGTATTATTCATTTATAGCATAATGAAACCAAGTTACCTTTGGGCTTTTTTATTTTTTTAATTTTAATTGAAGTGTACTTGATTTACAATGTTAGTTTCAGGTGTACAGCAAAGCGAATCAGTTATACATGTACATACATATATGTTTTTTCTTTTCAGATTCTTTCCCATATATGTTATTACAAGAGATTGAATAGAGTTCCCTGTGGTATACTGTTGTTTATCTACTTTATATATAGTAGTGTGTGTCCGCTAATCCCCAACCCTTGATTTATCCCTCTCCACTTTCCCCTCTGGTAACCATAGTTTGTTTTCTATGTCCATGAGTCTGCTTTGGTTTTGTCCTAATACACTCACGGAGCTCTATGGCATTACATAGGAAGCATCAAGGGAGGGCATTGAGTCTGACCCACCATAAAGAGACCAGGTATTGTCACTCACCTCTGTCGCTGTCATAGAGGTATGCAAACTTGTCCCACTGGTAGTATTCGATCAAGCTAAGAAGTGCTCCTTTGAGGTCAGGTCTCATTTGAATGACGAACGGATGGGTACCATCAGTCGGGAAGCTGGGGGTGATGAAGGAGACGTGCAGCGTTCCACAGAATGACGTGATGGTGTTGACAGACTTCTTGTCGTAAAATCCAAAAATAGCGTAGACTCCTCTTGAAAACTGGGAGCAGACTAGAAGAACAGGGAAAAGAGAATAGATAATCATTGAAGTTGGCATACAATCACACGGACTTGCTGGAAACTTAATGCCTTTTTTTGTATAAAATACAAAAGAATCAACAAATTGAAAAAATACAGAGTTGACATCAATAATTCATCAAATTTATGAGCACTTATTTACTTAGCACCCTAGTTGAGAGATTCAAAGAATCATAAAGCATTAGAGAAATGATTCTGGTGATAGGACTACATCAAACTAAAGAGCTTTTGCACAGCGAAGAAAACTATCAACAAAGTGACCAGGCCTACTGAGGGGGAGAGGATACTGACAGCTCATATATCTGATAAGGGGTTATATCCAATATATACAAGTAATTTATAGAAATCAACATCAAAAAAGAAAACAACCCAATTAAACAATGGGCAGAGGGTCTGAATAGACATTTTCCAAAGAAGACATGCAGACGGTCAACAGGCACATGAAAAGATGCTCAACATCACTAATCAGGGAAATGCAAATCAGAACTGCAACGAGCTGGCACCTCACACCTGCCAGAATGGGTATCGTCAAAAAGACCACAGATAACAAATGCCGACAAGGGTGTGGAGAAAAGAGACCCCTCCTACACTGTTGCTGGGAATGTAAATTGGTGCGACCACTATGGAAAACAGTATGGAGCTTCCTCAAAAAACTAAAATAGAACTACCATACAATCCATCAATTCCACTTCTGGGCATTTTTCTAAAGAAAACAAAAACACTAATATATGCACCTCTATGTTCATAACAGCATATTTATAATAACCAAGATATGGAACAAACCCAATGGTCCACCAACAGATGAATGGATAAAGACATGGTGGTGTGTATACACACACACACACACACACACACACACACACACACACACACACACACAATTGGAATATTACTCAGCCATAAAAAATAATAAAATCTTGGATGGACATAGAGGATATTTTGCTAAGTGAAATAAGTCAGACAGAGAAAGGCAAATGCTATATTATTTTACTTATATGTGGAATCCAAAAAACAAAACAAATAAACCAACATAACAAAACAGAGAGTCATAGATACAGAGAACAAGCAGATGGTTACCAGAGGGGAGAGGGTGGGGGATGAGAGAAGTAGGCAAGGGAAATCAGGAGGTACAAATTTTCAGTTACAAAATAAGAGTCAGGAGGATGAAATGTACAAGGCAATCATTTTGTAATGTACAGAAATATCATCACCATGTTGTGCACCACGAGCTAACACAGATGCTGTAGGTCAATTACACTCAAACAAGTAAACTCACAGAAAAAAGGTCACATTTGTGGTCACCAGAGGTGGACGGTAGAGGGAAATTGGATGGTCAAAAGGCCCAAGATTCTAGGTATAAGATAATTTATTAGGGATGTAACACACATGATTAACATAATTAACACCGCTGTGTGTTATATGTGAAAGTTGTTAAGAGAGTAAATCGTAAGTTCTCATCACCAAGGAAACATTTTTTTTCTCTTAGTTTTCTTTTATTCCTGTACTTGAGATGAGGGATGTTCACTAAGGTTACTGTGGTAAGTATTTAACAATATATGTAAGTCAAGTCATTGTGCTGTACACCTTATATTCATACAGTGCTATATGTCAATTATACCTCAGTAGAACAAGAAGAAAAAAAAAGAAAAGAAAATACACATGATTTAACAAACTACATAAGTGTAAACATATTTTAGGACAGCCCCATTTAAAAAAAAGTACAAGTAGAAGTCATTAGTTATAAGAACAGACTACAATTCCCTGGGATTTATACACATTCATAAGAACTCATTCTCTATATTATCTGACTCTTTTAAAAAGCTTCATTGCATTAATAATGCTCTTTTACTAGAAGATCAGCATGGTTATGAGAAGTTCTGATGCTGACCAGAACTTCTTTAAGAGAAGATGGATACAAGACTCGCATATCACACAGAGACACAGGAACGTGTCACCTGAAACGGACATCGCTCACCTTGCGTGGCTCAGTCAATTAAGTGAAATTCAGAGCTCCTAATTTTAATCTTTTCCACAGACTTAACTTATCCCATGCATTCTACTCCATACAGAACAAAAATGTTACCGAAGTATTTTGGCTTGGGGTCATCATTCTTAGAAAGATAATACTTTATTTGGAAGTCCCTGTTACTCCCAGAATCCCTTGTCCTCTGCCAATATCTGTATGTCAGGGAGCTGTGTTCTCCAGCCCTTCCCCCCATAGTCAGACCATCACTGAGTCACGGTCATTCTAACACCCCGACAGACTCCAATGTGGCTTACTCATTTCTATCTATACTCCAACCGTCTTAGTGCACCACCAGCACGCAGTACGCACCTTGTACTTGCCATGTGGCCTGGCACGGTACATTAACTCATTTATTTCTCATGATATCCCTTGAGGTAGGAACTATTATTAATCCCAAATTACTGATAGGAAATTTATAACAGAGGGAAATTAAGTGGCTTCATCCAAGGTCAGACAGCTAGTAAGTGAGAGATGCTGCATTGAAACCCAGACAGTCTGGATTCAGAGCCTAGGCTCTTAACTGATGGATAATACTGTGTCCCTCATTCAGATAATTGGAATGCCTACCCAACTTTCCTCCTTCATCCAATTATGCCCCCTCCATTCAATTCTCCACAATATAACGAGGATAATTTTTTGAAACACAAATCTTGTCAAATCTCTCCGAAAAGTAAGTGTTAATTTATCCAAGACTAATCCCCTGCAATGCACCATGGAAACCAGCCACCCCACAGTGTTTAAGACAACTTGTGCAAGTCAACCACATGTTTGGGTGAATGAATAGTTGATATTTTTTCATCTTGATTTCAATCCAAAATATGAAAGTCAGCTATCCAGTAACATAATCTAACAACCCAGAGCATAATACAGAGCATTGTTTTAAATTAATTAAACCTCACTGAAAGGATGAGGCCAAGAGTATCAAATTCACAAAAATAAATGGTCTATAGACAAAATGGACTTGCTTCATGAGTAAGAGCATTGCTAAAATATACGGACATCTTAATAGCCAACTGCAGACCATACATGACAGGCAATGATTTTTACTGACTATTGTGTTATGTGAAACAAAAGGAAAGCAAGGTTGGCTACTTCTCTCAGTGGCCCTTATTCAGCAAATGTTTCCATTTTCTTCTAAATATTTACTAATCTTCAGTTCACCTCTGCCTTTCTAGGTGTGTCTGTGCAAGGTATCAATTGCCAACTCCCTTACTACTAATTTTCTGCAGAATAGACTAATATATCTCAGAAAATACCTGCATGTGTTTCTTCACATTTAAATACTTCAGCATAAAGCAAAGATGAGATGCCTGACCTTGTCTTATCTTTGTCCTTGTCTGAGTACAGAGGTTGAAGACACCCTTGCCGGTGTTTGACTGTGCTCACTCTTCACATGCATGCAGAAGCCCTTCCATTGCTGAAACCCTTCTAGGCAAACTCAGCCATGATCTCCTACTGTATACATGGATATATGTGTATTGACATATATGTCTTAAACCTCAAGTTTGTTCAGAAATTATTGATTCCATAGGACACAGAAAAATGAGCACTTGCTATAAAATTTGCTCTGGGTCTATTTTATTTCACTTCCTGCAAAGAGTTGGCCTGTCATCTAAAAACTATAGGAATATCGGGCAGCATGATTTATTCATGAGACCTCCTCTTCCCGTCTGCAGTGAAGTCGCTTCTGGGCTGGGAACAGCAGGCCTGGCAAAGGATGGCCGGGCTTGAACACACAGACGCTCTTAATAAGGAGCCATGCCTTTCATTTTCCATTTGTGTTAGACTCTGGAGTGAGTCATCAAGGGGCCTCCTGGTTACCATGGCCATCTGGAAACACATGGCTTTGGCCCCACAACAGGCACAAACTGTACATAACTTCATAAGAAATTACAATTCACCTAACTCAGAAGGCACCTTTTCTCTTCCAGGCAATTCAGCTAATTGTCCAATGACCATGACTGTGGAACAATGGCCTTTCTCTCCTGGTCGTCCTTGCTCTGTTGACTATCTCCCCTTCCTATATCGCTGCATCACACATAGTCATCTGTCTACTTGCCTGTCCTCTACTTTTCTGGGTATTTCTCTCACAGTGTCCCTCTACCACGCAAACAACAGCCATCTGGTCAACATCACCCACCTCCCTCTCCTTACCACACAGCCGTCACCGTCCCTGTCCCCAAATATAACAAGGCTTTCATTGAGATTTACCCCCAGGAACCAGCCAGAACGCTGACTCGCCTCAAGGATGTTGCTTACCCAGTCCACTGTGGTCATCTCAAGATGAACTGAGAGCCACACTCCTAACACTCCATCCCCAAAATACCCAAGAGGCTCTGCATTCTGCTGCAGACCTTCTCCCAATCCAGCCTGGATCCAAGACCCCACTGATGCAACACACAAGGACATGCGTGCACTCCTTTCGAAGACTCCTTGTCTGATTAGAAATGACATTACTCATTTTCACCTCTACCTCATTGCCCAGCAATCCTCCAAAATTTAAAGCCATGTCCCTCCCTCCGATCCATCCTCAAAGGAGGGAGATTTACTAGCACCGAGAATATTCAAGTAGTGTGTCAGAGCATTGGAAACAATTTCAAAGACAACTTTTTAAAATGAGTGAGACAATACCGCACTCCATAGATAGCCATCTTCTCCGGATCACCTCTGGAGGCAGAAGAAGGGTCAGAAAAGTCTCGGTCTCACCTCGAGATTGATGACCCAAGCAGTTGCCCATGAAACACTAGTCTGAATTTCTGAATGATTAAGCTAATCAGTATTAGAATTGCATTTATGTCTTAAAACTCCAAACTGATTGTAAAATATTAAACAAAGATGCTCTCGATCAGTACGACTATAATTAAATATTTAATCTCAACTTTGAGAAACTCAGCAAAGGCAAGTGCTTTGAAAAGACACCTTAGTTCAAACAGCAGGAAGGATAATC